ATTAGTCATGGCCTGTTTAATTCCGCGAACACAAAGGAACCGCAGCGGCGATCGGACATTTTATTTTAAGGTTAGGTGCGTGTGCCGATGTATCGATGTGTTGGTTTGGTAACTTTCCAAAAAATATGTTTCCACGTATCATCTTTATTTTTGCGTATTTTAGAATCCACTTAAGCCTGTCTTTACGCAGAAACCAATAGCACACGTGTTATCAATAAATTCTTCCATTTTCTTCCATCAGATTTCTCGTCCTTTTCGTGTAAATTCGATTTTACATACTTTCAGCTTGAAATTATTCGATCATTTCTAGGATTTCTGAGATTCATTCCCATTTTCCTTTTCTTCGTGGACTACACTATCCTTTTATATTGTAAAATGGTCCAACTTATATACTTATATACTTATTATACTTATATATTTATATACTTATATACACTGTATAGTGTCTTACTTGAATTTCAAAATTATTCTTAATTCTTTCTTATTTCATACGTAATAATTAAAGACGAAACGAGATGCTAGTCGAACTATTTTTAATTAAATACGTCAATGACACAGTAGAAAAATTGATGAATTTGGGTGATTCCTTTTCTTCAGTTTTCCTTTAAAGTCTGGCGAAGCGAAATTTTTCAATTCTGTCGAATATAGAAATTTCCAGGAATTTCCATTTGCGTTACCGTTAGAAATTGGAATTATTTTTTATTTTCGACGTATTTTTCACTGTGACAAATGACGGAAAGACCAAGCCCGGAGCAGTGTCGCGCACAGAAACAAAAGGGAATTGCGACGTCGGTGAATTGGCGTTGTTGAATCAGAAATTGTACCCTCGCGTTTTTAGCTCGGTACTATGTCCGCTGAAATGAAAATATCTTAACAAATTCTGCAAGTCCCGGAGATATTTACATCCACCCGAGACCCACGTTGTCTCTTCCTTTGTCTAAAACCTTCGCAACATGCTGAAACGATGTGGACACAAGTGTCAATTAATTACGAAAAAATACGTACGAGAAGTGAAACTGCAATAGTAAGAGACATAAAGAAATTCGTCGTTTTCGCAGTATCCTCGAAAATTCTGACATTTATTCAAGAATAAAAGAGAAAAATGAATACCACGATAAATCGCATATATCGTATTTCCTTTATTTTAGTGCCGCCTTTTCGAAGTTAAAGATACTTTCGACAAATCCCCGTGGTATTATACTAAACCTGCCTTTTTATTTCCTTTGGATCTATCTTATTTGTTCATAAATTCCCTAGAAATCTTAAGACCCTGTCGGGGATTCTACCATAGTGATGCTATATATCGTCGCATTCGTTGCTCTGCTATAAAAAGGAAATAAAGAACAGAGAACGTGATAGCACGTTGAAACAGGGAAGATAGGGGAAGGTAGGAATAAAATGTGCTAATGAAGGTGAAAGCTTGCTGCGAGTTGTTAAAGCGAATGAGAAAAATTGGATCGATAAAGAGCATTCGATGAGGCATTAAATCGATTTCATCCCCGTGGCTCTAATGGCTAGTTGGCTGCAAGGTAGCACGATCTACGTAGGAGAATTGGGTGCTGGCTTGCATATTAAACACCTGCTTCGACAATCTCCTCTCTTCTTACGCGATATTAACTTTACCAAGATTTCCATTTGGTTCCCTAAAATGTGCCACTCTTGTGTCACGAGACCTAGCACTGAGCATTTAATCTGGAATCATTTTGGACTCTTGCACACGTTCACGATGACACCAGAAAATTACCAAGTACGAACAACAAGATGCTATCATCCCTTGAAAGGAGCCAAATAAAAATGAGCTGGAAAGAAGCTCACTTTAATATTCCAGGGTTGGAATGTTTATATCTCTGGATATAATAGGTTGTTCCCCTTCTTGGCTGTATCACATCGAAGTATTCCCTTCTAGTCATCGAATAGCAGAAGAATTGGTAGATCTAGAAGAATGGATTTACCATGTTCTTCTTTTTCAGGTCTCACCGTTCAGTTTATTTGTTCTTTCGTGCAAGGTGTAACAGGAGTAGGTAGCAGCACGAATTTTAGAGGTGTATTCTACTCATCTGGAGCGTGAAGAAAAATCGTGTAAACGTAGGTCTGCAAGTGCTTCCTTTTTCAGATGTGAGCATTTTTTGTCTGCAATGGAGTTTGACGAGAACGCCTGGTTAATCTCTTCGAGGTCGAATTTATTAAGGCCAGATCATTATCTTTAATTTTTCCGAGAAAGATAACGCGCAAGCACGTGACTATTAGATATTTAAATCTATCTGCGAATGAATTTTACATCCGAGAATATTTATTAGAAGATATTTGCTAGATATTGTTATAGATATTTGCTAGATATTGTTATTAAAATATTTTCTAAATATTATTACCACATTTCGCGTATTAATTTCATGTTTATATTCATCTTTGGGACGAGCAGAGCTTCCGACTTCCAAAATCGTTTCTTTCAATGCGTCCTTGGAATTCACACTGTGTACACACTGCCTTGAGAAACCATGAAAACACGAGGAATCTAGATCTCTTCCCGCTGGCATTTGACGACAAATGAGACGATACTGGATTCTTGCCGAGGACGTCGGCGAGGGCAGAGACGAGCATAAAACGCGATTGAAAGCACACGGATGAAAGAGGGTTGTCGCGTTAATAAGCAGAGGAAGGCTACAAAAGGGTAAACTATAATCGCGGCAACGTGATTTCCTTGGTAAATATGGGCAGGAATTAATTTCGCAGAGCAATCAGAGGAAAGTTTCTTTAGCGAAGAAACGGATCGCAGCTCGTTAGCGAGGACGTTATTTAAGCGAAGGATAAAAACGGTCGGTAAGTCAGAGAGCTGCCAGGTCGTTGAGCAGAAATGCACTATGAGATGGTGAAAAACAGACGTTAACTGGGAACGATCGAGGATGGACGAGGGAGAAAGTTGCCATGAATCGGATCACGATGTGGAAACAAAGGAGAAATAAATTATCAGCTGGTCTAGAAGGGTGTGAAATTGAAACGGAAATGGACGGGGCTTGAAAAGTAGCGTCTCCTTGAAATATAGACATCATATCTTGCGTTAGTACGAATGAAAGTGCTCTGAAAGCGTGAATCGCGATGGCTACGAAGTTTCAAACTATAGACGAGAATGATCTTAACGCGAGATAAAAGATCCATTGAAATAGAATAAAGAGATAGAACGATATTTATAATGTGGCTGTTAGCTGAAATCTTCAGTATTTCGACGAAGATGTGAAGATATCTATATAACAGAGCCAAAAATTTGGTCTCTTTATTTGATAGGTGAATTGAAAGGCTAATCTTTTGATCTTCTATCAGCAAGCTATGTCACAGAGATTAATTAGAGACTAATTAAACATATAATAATTTCATATGACCTTTATATTACATTTTTCTAAATCAACTAGGTCCTAAAATATTTAGAACTCTCTCTCTAGAATATTCACTGAACTTCAGAAGTTTCAGAAGATTAAAATATTGAAAATAAGAGCAACTCACTCTATAATGTCCAACGTCATGTTACATATCAACAGTAACATGCTTCCGTTCCTAGGAACCAATTTAATTAAGAAAGTAACTAGATATCGACTTTCAGATTTTTACATATGAAATTCATCCTGTTTTGTGATTACAGTAACTGGGATTCTTTGGGACAGTCATAATTTACATTGTGTATGATACACGAGACTTACTGAACAAACGTTTAACGGTATAAGGATTTAAAAACTTCCACGATCTGTTCTATGAAGATACGTGCTATCATTTCGTAGTCTAAGCCGGATTTCCATAATTAAAAAATATGGCAAACGTTCGGAAGTTTGTATTACTCCACTTCTGAGTAGGCGGGGAAACTCTAAGAGTCATAAGAATCATGAAACTTGGAAGAAAAGTTCGAAGAATCATTATGCTAAAACTGTTCTTAGCGTTATAGCTGAGCCAGGTTGCTTGCTGTATAATATTAAACGACTTTTACTACAAATGATGACAAGGCAAAGAGTTAGATCCTCTTATACTGTGATGGCAATCCATTTCATCGATATTCGTCGTTTCAAGATACCTATTTTATTAAACCACTATAATTTTCTGACTATTTCGCGATTCACTCGGTATTTTATACTGTTAAAAACGAAATGTCTATTTAATATATTTTGTTATTCGATATATTTGAATAAATAACATAACACGACATATTATAATACAATATCAAATATCAGATTTAATATGAAATCCTGATCAAAATCAGGACTACCACATCAGTTAAAATAATTTGTTCCAGATATCCGATCTTTGGAGTTATTAAAAACGTACATCTGCCATTAACGTTATCAATATTCCCTTTACCTGCATCATAATTTACACGTATCTGGCTAAAGATCAGTATTCCTAGCTTTAAAATGCTCAGTTTCTCCAAACAAATAAGTCGTCCATGCGAAATCGACATTTTTCACTCAGACTTATAGTTACAACTGCCAACTAACCATCATGGCGTCACTATAAGTCACCAGCGCCCTCACTACAGCTACTGCAATTACTATCTACGTATAAAATGTCATACGAAAGCATTACGAAATTATTCAACCCAAACTATAAAAACCTGAAGGAAAATAATTTTCTGCGACTTCAATTATGCTAATTAAGCGTTGATCCATATATATACCAACGAAAAATAAAGCTCCCTCTGCGAACACGACGCGTCTCACATAACGAGCGTAGACCAACGTGTTAATCCGTCCCACGCGCCCTAAGGCTCCCCTGTCCGCCATTAAATCTGCCGCAAAGTGACACGGATCCTGCAAGCGACCCTGCACAGCATCCCGACCACATACTCAAACGCATACCCGACATAACTCCCCTTGGTTCCCGCGCGAACGACGTCGTGTCACGAAAAGTAGGCATCGTGACGTCAAACGCGCGAAGCAGCCTCGAGGAAAGAACCGCATAGCGTGGAGGGTGGCGGTGCGGCCGATTGCAGGTTCGGGTACCGAATAGCGGGCCGTTGAACGGGCTGCAGTGGCTGCAGGGCCGGCACCGCGACGCCTGAGCGTCGTTGGCCTGTGGGTTGCGCGCGATTCGCGTGGCGCCTTCGCTCGATACCCGCTGCGGCAAAACCATCTGGTTCCGCTGGTAGCGGCTACCGTGTGGTGGGAGCAGCCTCTGTTTTATTTCTGTCTCGGTGTCCGTCTGCACCGGGCCAAGGAAGACGCAATCGTGCAGTTTTCGCGGCGTTCCCAAACGTCCGTCATCACGAGCAAGCAGTTCGACTTCGACCCGCGTTCGGTCCGTACCGATCTCCGTGTCCATCGGCATGGAAGACAGCTACACGGTGCACAGGCGGCGCAAGGCTGCCGCCAGGAAGCGTGAGAAGACGCCGGACCCATCCTCGAGGAACCAGCAGCTGGTGGAGACGTCCGATGACGAAGAGGCGGCCAGACGCGCCAGGATGGAGCAGATGGCGGACGATGCTGAGCGAGTGGAGGTAGAGGAGAGAGAGAAGAAAACGAAACAAGAAGAAGAACCGAAGGTGGAAGAAAGGAAGAAGAGGAGTCCAACGAGCATCGAGAAAGCTGAGAAACCGAGGATGACGAGCGAGGAAAAGAAGAGTTCTCCCGTGAAGGAATCGCAAGCACGTGAGAATGACGCCAATGACGAGACCACTGCGCGGTCGGTAAGGAAGGAGGTGGTCAGTAAAGCGGGTAACGGAAGTCCAACGAAAGAGGCGTCGAAGATTAACGAGGTGGCGGAGAAGAAGTACCAGGATGGTATACCCAAGTCGAAGGAAATTGACGGAGACATCGATCAACCGGTTGAACCCAGGAAGGTGGAGAGACGGTTGAAGAAGAAGTCGAGGGAACGGATGGAGAGACACGGTCAGTCGACTGATTCCAGCGATATGGAGGAAATAGATAAGCATCCAAGAAGAACCAAATCGCCGGAAGGGGGTAAGATTAGGGTGAAGAAAACGGTCTCGAAGAAGATCATCAGTGGTGATGGCGAGGTCACGACGAAAGAGGTGATCGAGAAACCCCCCCGGGAAAAGAGACCGAATAAACAGAAGCTGGAGGATACGGATGTTCAAGTGAAACCGGAGAGAAGAAGTTCCAGGGTACACAGTCAAACCGACGACATCGACGAGGATCCAAAGATGAAGAAAAGCGAATCTTTCCCTCGTCAAACCACCGAAGAAGTCAGGATGAAGAGATCCTCCTCCGACGTGAAGAAGCAGATAATACCTCTGAGCAACGACAGCCTTATACAGGACTTCGCCAAGGCCCAACAGGAATACCTAATGAGGGAACGAAGCATCCTCGATGCCGAAACACCCGATGTATTCGAGGATGCACAAGAAGAAACGACACTGAGAAGAAGGAAGTTCAGCATACCTCTCACAGAACAGGAACAAGACACCATCGAGAAGTCCATCGACAAGCTGAAAGAGGCTCAGAAGAAGAGATCTTGGTTCTCCTGGCTGCCGTTCTTCGATAGACAAAAGGTAGACAAGGAATCAAAAAAGATGGAGGACCAGGAAGAACCAGCGAAGACCAAAGATCACCAAGTACCACCGAAGCAAATGGGAATTAAACTGGTGGGAAAGCTGGACCAACCGAGGAAGGTCACCTTCGTAGACTTCCTGAGGACGATGAAGGACGTAGTCGCGGAGTTCAAGGCATTCGTGGCACAGAATCCCAGAGAAGCCGAGATCGTGAGAAGTCTGAGGAACCGTTGCATGTCGGAGTTGATGCTGGTCATGATCTACTGTGGTCTAGGCGCGTTCGTCTTCAGGTTCACTGAGGGAGCCTTCGAAACCTTCTACAAATGCGGCGTGAAGCGGGTGAAACGGGACTTCCTGGACAGTCTGTGGAACTACAGCCATAACCTGAGGGAGGACGACTGGAAGAGCATGGCTAGGCGGAAGTTGATGGAGTTCGAAGAGCAACTGCACACGGCTCACGAGGCGGGCATGCACACGTATAGCGGGCAAAGGAGCTGGAGCTTCTTAAACGCCGTCGTGTACTGTCTGACCGTTATAACCACCATCGGTGAGAAAATCGGGATGCCGTGGAGGACAAAGCGGAATACGAAGGAGAAAAAGATGGGGGATTGATGTGGATGAAGTGAAGCGATATGGTTGTCGTAAACCGTTTTACGAGTTCCGTATTGATTTTCCAACTAGCAAATATAGTTGTGCTGACGATTGTGTGGTACTTGCTTGTCAAAAGCTGAGTGCGCACGCGTTTGATGGTAGCGGTGAAAATTTTTGAAGGATAAAAATTTCAGAGCTTTCCGATATGCCTCGTATAGGAGAAGCTTGTGATCTTGGAAGGCTTTCTTTTGGGTAGCTTGGTACCAAAGTAATTGTTACCAGATATGGTAACATTTACAAAATATAGTAATATTTTGGATATTTAACTAATTCAAAACTTGCTCGAAGCGAGTCTATGATTCATCTTCTATGTTCAGATTATTAGTAATTTTTAGTCAATGCGAATCTAATTTTGGAAGCACATGTGCCTTTAGATCCGCATATTTGTTATACAATCTAATACGAAGGGCTTGCAAATGAAGCTGATAATTATTAGCAAGATGAAACTCGAATGTTGGTAATAAGCTACTTTATGATCCATCTTTTATGTTTTGATTATTTGGTTGTCTTTAATTAGTATAAATTCAATATTGGAACGTATAGAACGAGATTCCAATGAATCAATGACTCGAATTAATCAGCAGAAAAATAAATTTGTTATTGGAACGAGTAATACCAGAATCTCGTTTTGAATAATAGTTGTTCATTTACAAGGCTCGCTTAAAAGGGAAGTCTATCATAGAAAAACGTGACTACTTTACGACAAACAACCGCCAAATTGAACCACTAAAACTTCTAAAGTTAGACCGAATGCCACCGCGTATTTAGCATCTCCCAGGTTATTTTTGTCCCATAGGAGTATAGAGGTGCAACAAGTTTAAACCTCTCTAAAAGCTCAAATCTTAATACTATATATAAGTCACATAACAATTCCATGAATCGGAATGATTCATAATTAACAATCTTTTACGCTATTTTAGGATACGGCCACATTTCGCCTAGTACCAACACCGGAAGAGCAATCACAATAGTTTACGCTATCTTCGGGATCCCGATGTTTTTGATAATACTAGCTGATTTTGGTAAATTGTTCACTCGTGGTATCAAATTCCTCTGGGCATTTGTGAGGAGGGTGTACTATACCGGAAGTTGCCGCAAAGTTCGTCGAACCGTACCTGTTCAGGTAAGCTCTTGGCAGAAGTGAAGAAACAATTCAAAAATTGATCTCTATTTGTTTTCGCGCGCTTGGTTTACCCGTGCTTATATTTTACTAACTGAACCATCCCTCGATCAAACAAACTTCGATGAAACAGGAGGTGATGAAAGGCGTGCAACTGGTTTACGACCTAGCAACGTTCAAGAGACCCTCACAGATAAACCCAGAGGACATTGAGGAAATGCAGAAGCAAGCGCAACAATCCCAAACAGTGCTGAACATAGACGCAAACGCACCCGACACACCAGGAACACCTGCCATGTCCACGTTCGCCATCGACGACGAGTTCAACCTGCCGATCTCGGTGGCCATCTTCATTCTGCTGGGTTATATTTTCATAGGCGCCACGCTATTCTGCCTGTCGGAAGATTGGGGCTTCTTCGAGAGCTTCTACTTCGTCTTCATCTCCATGAGCACTATTGGCTTCGGCGATTACGTGCCAAAGGTGACAATTTTTTCCATATCAACAATATTTTAACGTCATTTTATATTTTGCATCATGCTCCACTCATTTCTGCTCCCCTAGATGACGAGATCGATTTGTTGCCAGAGTAATTCAAAGAGACACGTTCGTTGGAATATTTTTTCGCGTATAACTAGCTGCAGATGTTCTGTTATATTGCGTATAGTTATATATCCATTCTTAAATAATTTTTATACGCATCTTCCACTCCTTTACTTAATCCTTAGAAAGACTCAATGTCTATCCTGTAATATTTCATTTTATTTTTCTCTTTTTAAACAAGAACATTCCAATTTTAATCTGCGAATAGATAAGTAAGAAAGTTTGCTTTGCTCAGTTTCTATATGATCCTTTACAAACTGTTATTATATATTATAACTGGACTTACAAGTTTTAAGTTATTTAGCTGGAACGTTTCTCTTAGAAGTACGTTCTTCAATTTTCATTTGCAATTAGCGTTTGCTTTGTATCTGACCGATGGAATGTTCCCTATTCCCAATACTCTTCTTCAGTGAGCTATGTCAATGACGTATGATTAACTTGTTTTCTTGCTTCTTCCTTTCACGGTGGCGTTCAGATGGTAAGCTTTGAAAATCAGAAAGTTCATCAACAAACAGACAAACAAAAAAAATATAGAGCAAAAAAATGTACATCACCGTATATACACTATTTCGTACGTGCTTTTCGCATAAGTCTCACTTCAGCACAGTTGCACGTGTTCTCTTAACGAAATTAAAAACCGCCCGATGACAAAATACACGCGCAAAAATTAACAAATTGATTGGTTGGTTGATCTAGCATCCCATATACATGATGTGTTCGATAATATACCTGGTGTTCGGCCTGGCCCTCACGTCCATGTGCATCAACGTCGTACAGGTACTGAATTTTCATACCTAAAAAGAATTTTCGTTAGTATTCATATGGAAATATTCATATGGAAATATTCATATGGAAAAGCCAAATTGTAACTTCTCCAAACGATACTTTCATAGCAAAACTACAGAACTGAGTTTTATGTTCTGTATATCTTTACTTTCATCACCTAGTTAACCAGTTTTTAGAATATTTATATGAATACTATTATTTTTATTTTTATATTATTATATTATTTTTATATTATTTATTTTTAAGAATATTTTTAGAAAATAGCTGGATTCGTTTGACTAATAATCCTCTATTTAACGAATTGACGATTCACCTCATTCGGTAACCTTATAGTATTGCTATGCAATCTTGCAAAGCTACTTTACGTTTTAACATCTGACGATCAACTTGTTACACAGGTGATGCTATCAGACTCGTTCAGGCAGGCAAGTCAGAAGATTGGCGCGACGATTGGCTTCGAGATCGCTGAAGATGATCGATCGGTGAATCCAGCGGTTCCTCCACCGGTCGAGGTAGCAGAGGTCCACACTAGCATCAAAGAGTCTGAGAGCATTGAGAAGATCGCACCCAAGGCCAAGCAGGAAGATGTCGACTTATAAAAACTTTCTGAAAAACCGAAAAAATAGTCGAGTTATCCGATCGATCGCTGCGTTCGCACAACGAGCACCAATGACACGCGTTTCCGCCTTAAGACGTCTTAAAGTTCGTCTGCTCGCTTAAATGGACAATGAGAAATCGATGGTCCAGTGACAAATCGAGATCGTGGAAATGAAGTTGGCAAAAGTACACGTATATATAATTCAATTTGAAATTGGTGCTTCAGTTTTTCCAAAGACTGTTCACAGTCATCTTCTCAACTTACTTGGACAGAATGTAGATAGCGTTTCCGGTCAGTGTAGAAACGGCCAATCGACGTTTTAAGCTCCTCATGGGACGCACAGGAATCGACTGCTAAAATATAGGATCTATCAATTGCTAAGATCCTCGCTGGCTGCACTGTAGTCGCCACAGAAAACGCACCTCATAATGAATTCCTTCGTGTCTGGTATGAAACCACCTTTGGAGCATCTTCTGAAAGCGGAAAGCCGGCAGATATTAAAAGCGACTTATTTTGCCGCTGCGATTCACGCGATTGCGAATCGGCTTGCGAGTCGATACAGAATTCGAAACTGTTTTCCGATTCTTCTGACAAGGGATAGTTGAAAGTGGAGTTTTAGAATTAACAGGTTCCGAGCCGTGTGGTTCACCAACGACCCGTAATTTTTATCAAGGAATGAGAGCTTTCTTAGGAAAGTAAAGATATTTTTTGATTTTCGAAAAGGGAATGATAAAAGTGTCGAAAGTTTAACAAAATCGCTAGTTTTCTATAATTCATTATTCTAAGGCAATTTTCGACTAGGCTTTAAAATTAATACAATAAATTTTTAGCATAACCAAATAATCTAAGATAAAGTCTACACTCAGCTTTAAAATTCTATTGAAAGTTTCGATCTTTGCGCGGCACGGAACGTGTTAATATTTTTTGAGACTTTGGATGACTTTGAATGCATTCGGAACTCGAGAATTCCGTTCGATTTTCATTTCTGCTTATAACTTTGAATTCTTCGCTTTTGATCGAAGCCCTCGAAAAAGATTGAAATTGTATCGCTACAAAACTCACATTAGCTATTGAATGTTCCACTTATCATTATCCTTATCAAACGAATGACATTGCACGCGAACATGTTTTAACAAAACAAAATTTTATCGTTCGTCATAATATAAACAGCTAATAGTTACAAGCGTGACACAAGAGAAAGGATATCCGATTCTTTTTAGTTCGATGATAAGAAAAAAGTAGCGGAATCCTGCAGCTACTCTTACCACGGTTCAGAGAACAGTCACAGCAATTGCAATTTATTTGTCGTAGTCTATTGTCGACAATAAATACAATCTTATAACCTATATATTTCAAAGATTATCGCGGCGCTATTTTTCTTTTTCTTTTTTAATTTATTTGATATTATATACCGTAAAGCTTTAGAACGAACACGGCTATACCGACTGAGTAGTCTCTATACTTCCAGTCTTTGAGTTAAAACGTTTGTCTGTAAAAATGTACGTGATCTTATTGTTTAAACGATCCTCCATTTTCATTCGTCAAATACTAATTTAAGAATATGCAGATGTATATTTTTATTCGATGATATTAACCTGTAAGCAACGTTTTCTAATCTACAATATACCTAATGAGTATAAAAATCGATATTCAATGTGCAAATTTCTATATGGAAAACTATATTGAATTTATTTTTAAATTGTTTTAAATATAAAAATATTATTATCGTTATTATTACTATTATAGAAACAACTTTCAAATTAAAAAAACAATAACAAATTTTATTCGATAATCGACTTAATCGGTAAAGTAGTTACTCTAAGAATGAAAAATTTTATCTCAACATAGTTTAAATAACATCTTGAATATGCAATAAAAATCGATTACAGAATGGTGAACGTTGTTACGAAATAAGAGAAAATAGATTTGACGATCGAACTTGAGGATCGAAATAAATTTTCGTCACGGAAAAAAGAAAAAACTTGTGCCTTTTTAAGAATGAACTGTGTTAGCTATTTACATTTTATCAGATACGATAAAAATTCCTGTAATGCAGTTAAATTATAAAAACAAAGAAAAGAAATATATGGTGTATATTCGTTGCTATTTAAACAGCAAAAATATACTTTTTTCCTACAATTGAAAGGAAATAAAATATGGCAGATTGCTTAGTGTCTATACAATATCTTTGCAATTTTACTACATATTATAAACTCACGTAAAAGAAGAAAAAAGGAATAAGCGATCAAATTGATTATCGGTAACGAGTACTTGTTATTATTAATATGATAATAATAATGACATCATTGTGAACTTTATTTACGAATAAATGTTTCAGATATTAGGATTCTTTTATCTTCGTCTTAACCACTTCCCTTATATGTAATAAAAATGATAGATAGTGAAAAATTTTTATGAAAGATTTCAAAAAATACTATTCTATGAAGAGATATATAACTATAATTTTATGATTTAACTATTTTTTGAAAAAAGATAACAATATTGTTGAACTGATAAAACCTATCAATTGATCGATGTGTTAAAAGAAACACATATTTCTTAGATAAAATTGTATTGTCTATCGATAACTGATCATTATCAGAATAAATTATCTGTAAATCCTTGAATATTTTCCACTCGTTTATTTAATCCTTTATCATACTCACTTTGCAAGGTGATTCATATGAACAAAGATTAATTTAATTCAATGTTGTATATTTCAATGGCTAACACATTTCTAATTTTTAAATGTAGAAATTCCGAAAATAATTCGATAATTAAAACAGCATTTAACATTCTTTAATGGATACTCAAATGTACTGATCAATTTTTAACTTCTTTTTAAAGTAATAAAAGGAACATATTAACGTTGGTAACATTGACTGTCAGACGATAAACGAAAATCCGCTGCATGTTCAGCAAACATCAAAATGGCCAAAGGATGACAACATACGGCTGTCAGTTGAAGGAGAAAGTTGATATTTCGAAGAGAATCAAAGGAAAATGTCTCACATTCAGTATGTGGACGAGTTAGTCAAGGAATATCTGCTTTTTAGAGGTTTTAGTCAAACCTTGAAGGCTTTTGATAACGACTTAAAAGCTGAGAAAGAGAAAGGTTTTAGGGTGAGCATGTACGAAATTACAATAAAGGAAGTGAGAAACAAAAATACATGAAAACAATGTCTATAAATTTCATTTAACTAAAAAAGTTACCATTAAAAAATTAAGAAACGATTTTGTGATTTATTTTCCATACCATAGTGTTTATATATTTTAATTCTAGACGGACTTAGTATTATTTAGTTCTGTACTATGCTTTACAAATTTAATTTTAGTAAAGATTCATTATTCTTTTATTAGGTTGATAAAATCGTCGATCAATTGATGCAATACATATATAATTATGACTTAGCATCTTTAAGAGAATTATGGGGACATTTGGACACCAGGATGTTCTCCCGTTTAGAAAGTCACTTCACACCAGCTGTGAGGAAATTGGAGAATGCAGTTTTAAAAATGTATTTAGTTAATGCAGCAGTAAATAATAAACAAGATCGAATTCAAGAATTTTTTATAAAAATGACGCCAGAGCTACAAGGGCATTCAGAGTGGAAAGAATGGTTTGGTAGGATGTCTCATTTTATATATCTTCTTTCTATGTTCTTACTTTATTTCCCCTTTTTTATTTTTATAGCATTGCCATTTGTTAAAAATCCTGAAGACAATCCAGCATACTCTGTACATTTTAGTAGACAATGGCAGGACACTATGTTAGTGTCCCTGCACAATTTCCTTGCTACTATATTTCAAGTAGGTGAAAGGTATTTTGCATCGTGCCTCTCATATTACAAGTCTTACTATTTTTACATTGTAGAAAAAATATTAATTATAACTTTACAGTGAATAAAATGTAGTATTATATTTATATATTTAATTATATATTGTACAGTTTAATTGTAATATTTCTTAATTATAGTGTATGCCACAACCAACATTGCTTACGATAGATGAAGATACAAATAGATTAAAACGACTTCAAGAAGAGAATGAAACATTAAAGCAACGTTTAAGTGAATCTGTTAAAATAGAAAATGTAATGGATGTAAATCCAGGACCAGCTCCTCAACATTTACCACTCATGGATGACTTTTATATTATAGCACAGTAAATATTTTCACTTCTCATTTCATACATTAAAATGATTTAATGCATTATATTAACTATTTTCTTTATGACTCAAATAGAGAATCTCCTCTATTAGAAAATCCTAAAACTCTAAGGAATCTTATAAGAAATATTGGCGGTGGTTCCAGCCCAATTTTAAGTAGGAAGCCTGGAACAAGTATAAAAAAAGTTGTAGAACCTGAAATGGCATCAACCAAAAGAACTAATACGAAAGGAAAAATTAATTCTATTAATAAATCTGAACCTGTTAGTAAAAGAAGTATTAGCTGTGATTCAAGATTAACAAGCTCTAGAAAAAGAGACTCATCTATCGATGCAGTAGCCGAACGAAAAGCGAAAGATAAAATTGATTCCACTTACATTCTTCTTAGTCAGGTTACAAAAAATTACATACTTGTATAACGAATGTTTTTATAAACATTTTTTTAACAAAATGTCATTTTTAGGAAGAATATACAGAACATAAAACATCAATAATTCAATGTAAAAGTAATGCTAGTGGCTCATATGTTGCTACAGGTGATGCAGATGGCATTATTAAAGTATGGACTCCCATACCATCACCAAAGTAATTACTTTCAATATTTTTAATATTAATTTTATTACAATTTCACAATATTAAAATTTTACTTAAATTTAAGTTTACTTTTTCTTTCTATTCAATAGGACTGTTACCACATTTATCTCTGCTCCAGCAAATTCAAATAAAGCTATTACTGCATTAGACTGGATTTCAAAAAACGAACGTTATTTTTTACATGGTGATAATAATGGCCTGATTCAATTACACGATACTCGAGATTGCAAGACTTTATGGGATATTCAGCACGAGAATTCTCGAATCATTACTTTGTTATGTAACCCGACAGAATCCACATTTGTATGTTCCGTGTCAGATTCGAACGAAGGAAAATTATTATTATATGATATAAAAACAAGAAAATTAGAAAGAACGTTGCCAATGGAGCAAAATGTAACTGCTTTATGCTCTGCATTTAATCACAATGGGCAACTTCTTATCACCGGATTATCCAATGGGAATATTTTAATACATGATTTGAGACGCAATGAAATTATCGATAATATAAGCTGTCATGCAAGTCCAGTAATTGATATAGAACTAATTAATGATTACACAAATATCTGTACTCAAAGTGAAGATGGAAAACTGTGTCAAAGAAGTTTAAATCATTCAGGGAAGATTTTATGGGAAACGAAAATTAAAGTAGAGAAAAATACAGTTCATGGAAAACTATTTACTTTTGACCAAAGCGGTAACTATATGCTACTCTGTACACAAACTGGAGGAAATATATACAAAGTATGTATTTTTCACTATCTAGTGATACTTGAAAATGTAACAGTTTTATTGTTCTATTTGTCACTAATTGTAAATTTTCAGATGCCACCAGGAGCACAAGCAAAAATTTTAGAATTAGGTGGACACAAAGGTACATTGTGTTGCGACTGGTCTACTGCCAATCAATCTGGAACTTGTATAACTGGTGGTGCAGAAGGGAAAGTACGTGTTTCGACGTTGCTTTCACCATGATACAGAAGCAAAATTAGTATCTGTGTGAATTCATGAAATACCATATAAGATTCATAAGATTAGCTCAAATTTGTAGATATTAAATATTTAGAATAATGGACATTAAGGAGGAATTTTATAGTCATTATGTTACATAATGAAAGTTAAAAATATCTCATTTAAAGAATACATTCAAAATACCATAAGATTGAAGAAAAGATCCAAATATTTTATGAAAAGTACAATGAATGCAAGCGTATCATGCGTTAGCGCAAAGTCAAATGTATTATAATCCTATCTTTAAAATGGAATCAGGGACTACCAATTATAAAATGTACAGAAACTATTATAATTGTAAAAAAAATGGATACATAAAATATCTTTAAACGTCGCATTAAGTAATAGGACACGTGATTAAAAGACTTCGTAAAAAATAAAATTCTATTAATTTATGTAGCAATTATCATGTGTATACCTACTAATAGAAATTTAAGATATATCTGTAAGAGGTACAGGAACTTGTCAATAAATACTGGTCAATTTTAATATACTCCTCTATTCTTTTAACTTAATATATAAAGCTTAATATCCAAACAAATATAAAACATACATTTTATTTCTATAATTAAGTTAATTCTTACCCTGCCTATTAATTTTAACAGGATAAAAGTTTTAAATGTGGTTTTCTCATAGACCAACGATTGAATGGACCTGTCATATCTAATTGAGGAGACCAATACCGTCTAATAGCTTCAACTATTTCAGCTGGTGTTATTGGTTTTGTTACAGCTACCTGCTTAAGTATTTAAAAGAAAAAAACAATATAGTATGGCCTTTTATTAGATTATAATTTAGAATTTGATAAAAATGTTACATACCTTGCCATGATAATATGGTTTATAAGTACATGGATTAACATAACTAAGTCTGAGTCGATCTATAGCATCCCCATATATTTTATTTTGGTCTTGCCTTACTAAAAGTGCAAAATCTATAATTTGTGCTACTGTTTCATATGCTAAATAGCCCAAAATTGTATATGCGTGTTTTGATATTATTAAATCGTCTAAATAATATAATATTATTATATATTTAACATATAATTAGAAATTGTTGTTACATATAATATATTGTAACACATAGGACTCACTTTCTGGTGCTATCCAATCACTAAATTTGTGTCGACTTTTATTTGCAAATGATACATTACGTGCTTTACTGAATTTTAAATACCTAGCTTCATCCATAGATCTTGTCATAATTTCAGCACGAATACACCTTTGTTGTTTAACTTCATCTATAGTAGATGTATCTTCAAGAAGTTCACCAGTATTATTAATTTCACTAAGAAAATTATGAAGTGGCCCTCTGATTTTTATTCCATTGATATTATCATTTTGTATAATATCTTCAGGTAAATCACTATCTAGTGTTTTGTGTATAGATAACTTAAATTCTTTTAATTCTATAAATTACAAACGAATAAATATTTATTACGAAGAATACATTTTTTAGTTTGTAATAACTTTGTTACTTGCCTAAATATCTTAGGAGACGCTGCAATTTCACTTTGTTTTTACGTAATAAAAAAATCAAATCTTCCGCACAAATACAAATGCCTTTTTTCGAATTTCCTCGTCTTTCAGAAACTTCGCAAGCTTTCTTTATTATTGTTCTCATTTGTTGCAAAACAACCTCTTCTACGATTTTTGCGGATTCAATTAATGGCTCGCTACTATCTCCAAATCCATGCATCATTTGACGAATTTCTACAAAACGTAATTCTAACTCAGATAATATTTAAAAATAAAAATTTTAAATATCAGAAATATATGATAAAAAATTGAAATACCGGTAATGTAATTTGCAGGTTCATTTCGAAGAAACTGCGAATCATTTGTTGGTTTAGTAAATGATGCTTCAGTCATAATTATAAGTTATTTAACTGCTTTTATTTTAGTAAAACATAGATAGAATAAATATATAACACTGTAAGTAATAAATAATAATTGTTTCTACTAATTCAGTAATGATTAGGTTATATTCCACACATGGCGTGTTGTAGACTGTGATTGTAATTCTGATCGATTTACTTTATTTTAGAATATTGATTTATATATAATTATTCAAATTAAATTCAATGAATAAAAGATAACAATTTTTTTAAGTATTTATTTACACAAAAAATATATCTTATTCCTTATATAGTTTATCTACATTTATAAGTTACTTTATTATCTGTAATTTACTTTTCATATTTTATTACCTAAAGCAGTTAAACTTATGCACACATTTACTACGAAAATAATATTTATTAAATATAAATTTTCATCATTTTAACGTACTTAGCAAAGTTAAAAATTCGCATTTAATCTTAATTCAAACCATTTCGTAAATAACTTCTAAATTAATTGTTAATATTATAAAACATAAAATTTTAACTGCATATACGTATTTTACTTTTCAATTTTTAATTATCAATTGAATTGTACATTGCAATCTAGTCATTTGTATTTAAAAACATGATATAATATTATTATTATTTTTAAATTTGCTTTAATTATAAATTAAAATTTTAAATATTTATTTTAAACTATGTTTTTAGTCCTACGTAAGGTATTAAATTGCATCAATACTGCGAATCTGAGAATATACTTTTTCTAACGAATGATTTTTTGATTTATGAAATCACATATTATGATTTCTAACAAATAAGAACTTTATAACTTTATATGTGACAAATATATTTTAGTAAATGTAACTAAAAAAAAATATATGTAAACAAAAAGTAATTATAAATTCCATATTAATGAACTATATTTATATAATGATTTAAATTACAATTTGGTACCAAATTAATAGTGTTTTTAACAATTTGTAAATAATAATTTATAAATTATAAATTACAGATAATATTTTATACATGGTAACTAGTTATTCTTTCAAAAATATTTGAAGAGATGATATTTTTCACTATGAAGTTATCTTATGTAGTTTATAATTATCTATATAGTGTGAAGTACGTTTTAAAAAAGGGAAAAATGGCCGATAACGATGTAAATGGTGATTCTGATGAAGTGCAACAGGAGAAATCACAGAAAAAGACAGCGAAATATGACAGTGGAGCGGCAGATTTAGAAAAAGTCACAGATTATGCAGAGGAAAAGGAAATATCCTCATCTGATGGATTCTCTTGTGTAAGGGCTTATATTATCTTCTATTCCACGTGTTTATGATTGTCAACAACATTTATTTAGTTTTTTTTGGCAATGATGGAAATTTATATTTCTTGACCTTAAAATTACTTTTATTACTTTTTGTTGTATATGAATTAATGTTTATAGACTTTTAACTTAAGAATAGGTACTCATAAAACATAACCTATAACAAGTTGTATACATATAATTATTAATTATAATTATTGTGTATGATTTATTTACTATAGGCACTAAGCATAATCGGCGATCAACGGAATAAAGAAGCTGCAGAGAAGAAAGCAAGAGAAAAGGAATTGCTAAAAGTTCCTATTAAAAAAAAAGATGTTGACCTTATTGTATGATATTTATGATAATTCTTATTAGCTTGTTTTGTAATTAATTAATGTATTTCTTATTTAGAAATTGTATTAAATTACTAAAGTATAATAACAAAACATTATATTTCAGATGAAAGAAATGGAAATAAATCGGAATGTGGCGGAACAAACACTCAGGGAACACAGAGGGAATCTTGTAGAAGCATTAATTACCTTAACAAATTGATTGCACAGCATCAGCTTCAAACAGACATTCACATAAATCTCAATTTTATTGTAAATTATATGATCTTAGGAATTGTTGTGACTTTGGGTTATTAATAATTTATTCATGTATATTATAAAATATACTTTAAGCAATTCTGTATATATATATATATATATATACACACATATATACATATATATATTTTTATTCATATACCTATTTATGCCATTTCTTAAGGACACAGCAATGAGAATGTATTAAAGAATATATTAAATTTCAGGGAAAAGTAACTGAAACTGTGAATGTATGTGTTATCAGGGTGTTACCTTTTGATAAGATTGTAGCCTTTATATTTACCAGAGGTACTTGATGTCTTAGCTTAAAGCAACATATCTATCTGTTTGCAGAAGGTTGAATAATTTACAATCTATATTTTTTGAAGTAACAAAAAGATTTGAAAAGTTTAAGAAATTATAGTGTAATAAAATCTCATATATGAATATTCATTATTTGATATAAATAACAGTTTCTTGTTAAAATTTAAGTGATAGTGTGATATTAATATCTCCTAAGCACAATTAATTATTAATTTCAAAGATTTTTCTTTCTTCATTATAATTATTAATATGTCTACAGTAAATTATTTAAGTAGTTATACAGTGTCTAGTGGATTTTTATCTTGTTAATGTATTCTCATTTTCTTTACATTTATGGTCAAGAAATATTGTTTTAAACAGAACTAAATATGGCATCATTATCTTTGAATAATTATCCATGGAAGAAAAATGAATCTGTTACATATAATTTAACAAAAAATAAGGGTAAGTTTAATAAAATATTATTAAAATTCATTAAAATTCATTTTGTTTTTACATTTTTCCTGGGACACTTCAATTTCCATGCTGTTGCATATACCTTAATTGTAGTTTTTATTGGTAAGATAATTTTTTTTCATTTACGTATCTTCTATATTTATCCTAGGACTTTCTCAAATGTTACTTAATTTCTTTTATAGAAATATAGGTGAGAGTGCATTTACAGCAACACAAATAATCTTTATCCTGTTGTCAATATTTGGCCTCTTTCTCGCAATGCTCATATATTGCAAAGTCTGTAGCAGGTATGAATTATGTATTAAATAATATAATGATGTAATTCTAGTATAATTTTAGAATTGGAATATAGTTCTAAAATTTAAAGTAATTTAAAATATTTGTTTAGTAAATAGAAATAAAGTTAGTAGTTGTTAGTACTGCCTTTTATATATAATATTTATACGATCAATAAGGATTTCCAGGGCATCTAGTATGGCATATTCAGAATACATAGCATATCTGGATGAACACAATAGTAATATAAGCTCCAGGTCCATGTATTCTGACTCAATTTATGAATCATCAATGGACAGACCACCATCTTATAATGAGGCTTGCAGTGCACCTCCTCTCTATACGTCTCCTTTCAATAGAGTATGTTCATTTTTATTTTGATAATTAGATTGCAAATAAAATAAGTGAAATGGCAGAAAATGTTTGCATATATCCAATATATATTACTCATTACAATCGTTTTTATCTTCTACTCGTTGTCAAGTGATAGATAAAAAACTAATTTTATTGTGTAATGTGTCATTTCACATTTATGTTCTACAGGTGGCAATGCTTGAAGCTCCACCAGTTTATCCAGAAATCCCGACGGTATCTGATCGAGTATCGCGTGCAAATAATCATGTGTTTTTAATTAAAAATTATATTTAACATATAGTTATAGTCACGTCGTTTCTAATACCTATTTGAATCTATATTAGCTAAAGAAGAAATTTAAGCGTAAAATAGCCAAGTAAAATTGCTATTTAATATAAGCAATAAAAATTATCTGAGTAAATGGCTTTTAACGATTTTTTTTAAATATATTTTTCGTTTACTAAAATATTCGAATCAAACACTAGAAATGTATTATTAAATTAGCGAGATGTCGGGGATAATGAAAATCACATAAAATTCTCATGATTATATAATGAAAATGTCATTTATTTGATGTGGTGCAATGACTTAAAGTAAATGGAAAAATGAACGTTTATATGAGCTGGGTTCGATGAACAGCAGTCATGTACTTCAAAAAGCTACCACTGCTGAACTATTCGTTACAAAAAGCTTCTTTTTTCTTCGGGTTTAAATGCAATATACAATGGAAGTGTATCAGACAGCAGCGCAGTAGTAGCTAATGCGACACGAACATGCTGATTTTCATGATGAGGTAACACTTGTCTTACTTGTACTTAGTTTATCAAATTATCCAGTCATACGCTCATGCAGATTGGTTCAAAAAGAATTGCATCTAATATTTCTCGAACTGTCGTACGGTATTAATATTTAGTTTTTCGTTTTTAGGAAAAAGACATTCAACATTACGAGTTTCATGAGATATTTTTTCGCCGCACAGTCCCAAAGATAGAACATGGGTAGTAGAATGGACGTAGACAATTTTTCCGTTCTTTTTTTTGACATCTTTAAAATCTGAGCGAGCACACACGGCCAAAATCTGTTCCTTAAATCGCTTACATATTCCATATTTTCTTTATATATTTTTTTTTTCTCTTTTTTCATTTCTCCGTTTTGTCGTTTCATCTTTGTAAGCCTTAATAACCTACTACGACTGAAATAAACATCGTGTAAAAAACGGTGGAAAAACCTTCGCTAACTAAGTTTCCATAGGAGTTTCTTTTTTCCTTTTAATCTCGACAAAAATACATTACGATGTCACGACTGGCAAGTACGGACAAATGCATGTAAGTGTCGAGATCAAAAATGAGATACACATATATAATCTAATCGTATTAATTTGTCGTAATTACATTACATTTACTTAAAGCATTGCTAGTGTGTTTCAAGGAACATGAGTTTAGCACAGTCTGTAAAATAGAATAAATTATAGTTGGTTATTGTACCCTTCATTAAAAGTATGGTTCCGTTTCGGTTCAGTTCTTATAAAATACAGTAGATATGTACAGTAAAAACCTTAAAATCGAAAGGGACGCTAGATTTGGGACTGTCCGGATATAGCGACCGTTTCCTTAAAAGATAAATTCACTGGCTGCCAGGATCGTCAGAAAGTTCTAGAAAGGTTGTGATACAATTGCGGTAATTACAGTGGTCTTATCACAGAACATGTATGGCATTAAATCTTCGATATCATTACTTCTTTGTAATGGTAGGTATTTATATCTCGTATTTAAAACGTTCGGTAAAGCTAGGTCGGAGGATCAGGAAGCCAGTACGGTACTAAATGATGATTATTGTTTTGCGTATTCCGTCGGTTGCCCATAATTCAGATCATTGACCACACAATTTCGCGACTTCAATAATTAATTACACAAAAAACGATTAATATTCTCGTACTATATAATTGACTAACTTTTTTACTTTATACAGTTCCTTTTAATGCTTTTTTTTTTCCCTTTGTTTGTTGTTCACTTTTTCATGGATTTCATTCTCTAGTAGCGTATGTCATCGACTTCATTCTTCTGATTTCTTCATTTAATACAACTTTTGTAACATCTCTGATTAATACATGTATCTTGTGTACGAGTACATAGACATTTCAATAATAATCAACATAAAATTTGATAAATTATGGACAACCCTAAATTTAATACAATAATAATAATAATAATAATAATAATAATAATAATATAATATCAATAAAGTGAATGAATCTGAAAAATAAATAGATCCTAGGTAAACATATAAACTGGCTATCGTGAGCATACAGAGGCTAAATATACGCCGAGATGCAGAGGAGGCGAGATTGCTGAATAATAAAGTCGTTCTCGCGGCTGCTTAGACTGCAAAGTGGTTGCTTGTCCGAGAGCAAGAATCGAAAGGAAAAATATTTTTCTGCCAGATATCCTTGCGGAAATGATCTTGAGATTCCTGGCGAATAGCAATTCGTCTTGCTCCGGTGCAACGTCTTCGACGAGAAGAGAGGAAGAAGAAATTTGCGTACAGATCGTTTTATTGTTCTGGGCTTCTGATCGACCAACTTTCGATTCCTTATCTTTGCCGGGGAGAGATCTTGGCCTATATTTACCGTCTCGACGGCCAGAGATCGACGTTTCGACGAAATGACAAAACACCTTTCGTTGCTATAAATATTTTTAATCTTTACTTGTTCGAAAGCAAAATCACAGCTACATAAGATGTGTGGTTCCGATACTCATTCATAATAATAATAATATAATAATAATAATAATAGTAATAATAATAATAGTAATAATAAAATAATAATAATAATAATAATAATTCGAATCTATCACTTCGTCTACTATGCAATACTCGAGAAAACAAAACAAACTGTGCCTAGCAATAAAGGGTCGAAGGGTGGGAATGAGGATCGATGGGAGGAAATAGAGAAAAAGGCCGCGCAGAAGGTGGGACATAGGGCGGTATCTGCAGACAAAAAATATACAAAAATACGGGGCACAGATTGCGTAGCATTAATAGTAATCATAGTAGTAGTCGTACATGTTGAGAGAAAGAGATCATAAAAAACACTAACTAGAATCATTTTTTCTCCGTTCTTGGAAGAATTCGACGTTTTCATTTTTCTTTCTTTTTTTCATTTAAAACTAAAAATCACTATTAGTAATAAACATATCTAATTTTATTTTTGCCGCTCGCATACACGGCGAACAAGCGTGGGACATCTCATTTGATTCGTTTTTTCGACAAAGGAACAAAATCTTTTTTTTTAATCGTCTGGTCGACGTCTATCACAACTTCCTTCGTGCAACATTGTACTGTATGTAGCTGGAAAGTGAACTGGTAGATAGAATGCGGGTCTGATTGGTTACAGTGCAATAGGTTCATTTTTAACGATACTTATATAGATAAGCACATGTATTTTCATTATTGACCGAAATAATCACATCCATAAATCGAATTATACAGTACCGCGTGACAAACAGAACGAACGGGATCTACTAAGACCAAATGGGATATAACGATAATAAGCGATGAAATAAATTAAAAAATATTAACATAAACATAAATTCAAGGTCCTGATCATTAATAAAACATAAAAATTGTAACGATGTAATTTATCCTACTACTATGTTGGTATATGTTGTCTAAAAGTGGAAATTTTGGAGGTATCAAAAATGGAGTTATACAGAACGAGCGCAGTGTACCACCTTCTTACCCCTATGCCGTCTCACTAGTCAGCTTTCCAGCCATGCACAGTACTTTTCTCTTCGCGTGTGAGTGTATATGTGTGTAGCAATGTTTCAGCGAGTTTCAATCTCGCCTTTGGTCCTCTGACTGCTTCTGATGTCTTTTTCATAATACATAGATGGTTCGCGCATTTCCAGCTATTCTCGTTGTACAAACGAAAGCAAATCCATTACGAGACCTTAATGATGCGCATTGACAAATCGCTGACATGGTGTCGATGGATGAAAACACATGTCTCTCTCACGCACGAGAATGTAACATCACGCACAATGCAAAGTACCAAAAATTTCGTCCAAGCAGATTGAGACAAACGCATCGTGGTTTATTCGTTTCCAAGTTACCTTCCATCGGCGTACACGTGCCTTTCTTTTCCTTTTCTGTGATAGGCTTTTTCAAACGTCGACGATTTCACCGAATTACAATAAAGTCTATAGCCATGTGTTAACTGCATTTCTCGCCTCGAACTCGCTTGAACCGGCTGTATACTGTACCTTGCCTGAACGGTACATTATAGGTCGAAAACCATGAAGAACAGTTCTCGTCGCAGTTCCTTTTCAAGTGAACCAGAGGATGGCGCACTAGGAAACATTTATTTAGCACTACTTGTATCACTGTACACAAAAAAGTCATGAGGGATGCAGAATAGGCGGGGGCGATGTGGAGGTCGTGCCCGGAGTCAACGGTGACTGTTTTCAGCTTTGTTTCACTCGCTTTCTGGGCGGTCCGATCGGTGGAATTTGTTGAGTGGCTAACGCCCGAAACGCTTCCGCTATAAGATGCGGATGAGAGTTTACCATTGACTTAAAACCCGCTGTGTCCATCACGTCTGTTGCATGTCTAAAATACATATGAGATAAAATTATTGAAACATTTCTTTTATCTGCTTTGAGTACAGACTGATTATAAGTGGAATTTGTTTTACTAATAAATTTTACCGTATAATTTATTCGATTTTGCTTTTCAAATTTGTATATTTTATCTTGTTCTTCATCTTATTTGTCTAATTATATACTTACGTATTAATAAAATCTATGGCTTGTGCCTTGAGTTGATCAGCGCTATGAAGATCAGCGAGAATCAGAATGTCAGCTGCGTTCTCGATTGCTAAACTCGTGCATAACGCTTCTTCGCACATAACCTTCAACCTTTCTAACGCATATTTATCCGCCGCGGCTAACAGATCATCGGCCATCTTTTCTAAATTCGCCGCTTTCCCGGTGTATATAAATCGCAACATTTCTCGTAACACTTCATGGTCCACATCGGTAATGTCTACACGGTTTTGTTTCCTTTCTTCCATCTCGTGTTCAAACATCGCCGAAAAAACAGGACTTCGCGCTAAAACATGAAATTATGAAATAAAAAATTATGCATTTTTTAATAATGAAGGTAAAAAGGTTAATGGGCATTTTAATATGAACTAACAATGAGAATAAATGTAAAAATATACGTATGTTATTAGTAGAAAACTAGGATCTTTTGAATGTAAGTTTAAAGAGATTAAAAATTAATTTACCTGCGAGAATGGCTTTGTGCGCCTGAAATTCCCTCCCACATACTGTCAGCGTGACGTCGCTAAATTTTTGGTTTTCAAACAGAAGCCCAAGGTCATCTGGTAATCGACATTCTGGAACTTTGAATTGTATAGTATTACTTTGTCCGGAAATATTCACGCTGTCCGCCACTACGCTGACCTGTAATATTTGATTAAATTATAGGTTTTGTTCACACTAAACATTAGAGAATCATACAAATATTGAGTATGTAACATACAAAGGTATATACCTCACAGAATATCGTGAGTTTATCATCGGGTAAAAGTCCATTAGCTTCATCCAATAAGAAATCTCTCCTAATAAACTTCTTAAAACCCCAATCTTTACCTTGGACGAACCTGTAAGCACGTTGGCTCTCTGAAAGCATAAAATTACCGCTGTTTACTATTCCTCAGTAAATATGAATACTTATAAACAACTTAAGACTATCCTTAATGTTGTTTCTAAGCCCTTTGTATTTCTTACAAAATTCCACAGTAAAAAGTTAATTTGATCAATGATTAAGAGCTTTAATGTTTAAACATTCATAATTTTATGTAAATGGTGAGAAATTTTTACTTATTGTACAAATATATAAATAGTATATCTGTACATATATAAATATAGTAGATAAAAACAATTTTCTAATGTAATTGTACATTGACCATAGTTATGAAAATAGTAAAAATTTGTAAAATACACTGCATTGCATCTCTTTCATATGTTAAGCACTTACCCATTGCTTTGGTTTCTTCTCTTTTGGCATTAAGAATAGAAAATTTGAACTTTGCTCTGACTTCGGATTTGTTGCACGAAACGAGAAGGAGATATAGAGACAGGTAGTCTTTACTCTCCTCATCCAGACCCTTAGGATTCACTCTTAGGCACCTAAAATCAATTATCATTTATGTATATTCACTTTATACATTTCTCAATGTTTTATATGTAACATTATTTACTTATTTTGACTTATCACTACATTGATATTAAATACATTCTGTTTATTAGTAATAACGAGGATTTTGGGAGAAGACTTAATAAAAAAAAAAAAGTAATTTGGCGGAAAAAGAAACAAAAGTTTTATACAAATGAATTGTGTATTTGAATATTTTTAGTGAACAGGTAAAAAAACTAAATAAACATTTAAAAGGGGGAAAAAATTAGATGATTGTATAAAACTATTGTTTATTTAAAAAAAGAAGAATTTAAACGGTAACTGGAATTACCGTTCAGACGTAATTATCTTATGTTAAATGAATATCTGCGCATTAACGTAACAGCGAAAGGTTATAAAAAGACGGATTAAGAAACAAAACCTGGAGAATAAGTTAGTATGCAATGTAAAGAATCTTAAGCAATTTTGCTCGGATAATTTTCTACGATGGAATTCAAAAGCGAAATTCTTTGGACTGGTGTCGTACACTTGACAAACGAGCTTAATCTTCCGGATCTTACCATTTTAATTTATCGTTGGCCCCTGCTGAGAAGGTGGACGACTTTAGCACTTCTCCCATTTCCTCCCGGCAAAAGCTGAAGTTATTTATCGTCCACATGTAGCTGAACTTAACCACCTTCACCTGTGCACATAAGACCTTCAAATGCGACACCACGTCAGAATGTGTCCCGTAGAAACTACCTTAATCTATCTATGCTAAGGGTTACGCAAAATACGTCTTTTTAAAAATAAGAATTTCAATAATATCTTAACTCATGAATATGAGTTGCTTTTTAACGTAATAAATCTTCTTGGTACTGATAAATTAAGCTATGACTATTACTTTTTCAAGAAAATAAATCATAATGATTTAAAAACTGTTTAAATATAGAATAAAACTGTTGATCGTATATTAAATATAAGTGTAAACGAAGATATCGATAACAGTGCTGCCATCTGTGTTTATTGGGGAGAATTCCGTATTCAAGTTTCAAATAAATATAGTTTGTCAGAAATTAATAATACAGTGCCTTAGAATCCTTGTAATGAGAACTCCTTTCTCCAATTTTCTACTTTCGTATAAATTATGTTTAAAAATGTATTCCATAAACTATAAATCACACAGATGTGTCTATAGATTAAAAAAGTGAATCAAAGAAATACCTCTAATCTTTTATCGAACCCAGGGGCATGTGTTACGATAATTTTTAAATCTCAGTAAAAACTTCACCCTCGTGTCAGTTCTTAAATTTTTCAAATAAAAACAATGAGTATCTTTCAAATATCACGAAGTATAAAATGACCTCTGACCAGCCGAGTAGTATGAAACGATTATTCCGCGCAGAAATTACAAGCACAACACCGATCCCACTTAACAGCTGCATCGCAAATACGCTATAAAAATGCGAAAATAAGAAACAAAAAATACAAGTACTGTTTTTCGAGCTGCGTGACGAGTATTCCTCTTATCGTTCGCGATTGGAGAAGGCCTTCCGTTACGTCGTCTCGTTTTCAGGCTATGACAAAACTCGTGAAACACACCGATTGCGCACACTATACCGTTTCTCTATAGGCGCAACTCTGTGTGTATAGTGTGTGTGTCGAATGGTTTCCTCGTCCTCGGATATATTTGTTCGCTAGTTTCGTCGCGTGGTCCCAAGCAGAAAGAAAGAGAGAAAGAGAGATCGAGAAGGAAAAAAAGCTAACAGAGGTTCTTTTTGAGAGGAACGTCGAAGGTTCCTACGACTAAATTGATCGTGGCCTTGAAGTAGTGAGCAGACGAACCGCGAGAAGTACTACAAGTACGGGAGCATGTGTTAGAGAGAGAAAGAGAGGGAGCCAGGGTCGAATTGAACTCTTACGTAATTACCTTGAAAAACGTGCAGAAAAAAGGATTTAACCTTTGCCGCCATTCGCTTCGGTGCGCGTTAGTGCTTGATGCGACTTTTTAAATCATCCATTGCCAATTTCAGGAAAATATCGAGAGAATGTAAACGTGGAGAGAAAGAAAGAGGTATGTTTGTCTGTGTGTGTCCAAAGAAAAATCGATACCTCGAAAGTTGTCTCGATGTCCTTCGAGTTTTCGTTGGTAATGTTAATATTTAGATGTTGGTATTTTTCAGACGGATCATTTCGGTTTCAAATATGCTTTTGGACGCCTATGAAACAATGTTGGAAGGATTAAAATGAAACGGTAGGCTTAATACCCCGTTCTGCTGTTATGAAATAAGTTACTTAATAGAAAATTGCATTCCAGGAGGGTCAAATGTTTCGATTCGTTCTGAGGAATTCAGGTAGGCGTTGATTATGATGAGCAAGGAACGTGGTGTGGTGTAACAAGGAGCAGTTGCTTTGAAACATAATGCTTACAGAGTTCAAAATATGCAGTGAATCGTCAATCGTAATTTAAATGGTGATATTTCCTTAAATTGCGAGATTATACTAGAATAATTGGTAAAGGTATCTATTGATGCTTATTTGAAAGATTCTACTATACAAAAATATTATTCAACCATAAAGCATTCATAGATTCATGGAGAATTGCTAATTGTTCTTGATAACTGTACCATCATTAAACAAAATTTTCGTTTCCTACAGATTGCATAACCTTCCACGAAAACAAGACACAAATGGCAAAGTGGACGGGTATCAATTGCATAACACGTACAACGGAAGAAAGGTAGCGAGCAGTACATACTCGACGATCACTCGATCGATCGGGTACCTTCTTTCCGCTCTGAAACGTGACGAGGTGTGCATCCACTTCCGTTCGATATCGATCCTTGTTCGAATTAGCAACGATTTGCAGACACCATTGTACTGGATTTCCTAAGAACTAAAACTTATCAAAGGTAATGATCGAAGATCTATAACAGACAGTTTCACTGAACAACTATTTCCTTCAAGAATCTCGAGTTTGTCAAACATTCCTGAAAAGTAGAAAAGGGATCTCAAAATTCATAACCTATGATCTTAATCTACCTCGAAACTCGACGGAACCACGGGGCAAGGCGTGGACGAGACAGAGATAGGCGAAGAAGGCAAGAGGAAGAGGAAGAAGATGCCGAGGTCGAGCCCCCACGAGTCAACGATCCCTGACGTCACGCGTGTGCACGACCTTGGCGAACGAAGCCGAGCCCGGAGCCAAATCTATTTCTCTAGTTCGTCTCCTGCTCGGCGTGGCCCTTATCTCGATCCGCGTTATGGTCGTCAAGGCACGCCCGTTACGGGCCCTTGAAAGCCGGCTGTAGTCGGAGTCCCGTGAAATTTTTGTTACGAAAACGGCATTACGTAAACCTATCCACGCGTCATTCATCAACCGATCCATAGGTCATTGACGACGAGTACACTCAATTGGCGGCCTCAGAGGGCGCTGTTGGTTTTCTCGAGCGAAGTAATTGCTATTCGTTTGGACACTTAAGATGCTTTTTTATCGCAGCGATGGAGATTGATGGTTTTCTGAAACGATTGCACGGTCTTGTTTCTGTAACGTAATTAACTTGCGAAATATCAATGGGACAGCAGTGTGCAGCAGTACATCCCAGCCTCGAGATCTACGTATTTTTGAAAATACTTTTTCAATTTCAATTTAATTTTCCATTCTGTATTTTACGCGATTATATGAAACTCTATTCTGTTCAAGAATTATGAATGAATTATGATCTTCATTCAAGTTAACGACAAAGAAAATTTGCGTGACACGTGATGGAATCGATAGTTATGATATAACATCGATAACGATGAATTTATTTCTATCGATTAAATAAATTAAGCGGTTAAACACGCAATTACGTACACTACAATTTTTCTTCATCGCTTGCAGCTTAATGTCCGAAGGCGATGTCTACACTAAAACTACTCTCTCTGGAACACCTTCGAGATCTCTCTCAGATCCAACTGAAACTGTGCGGTACGGCATGTCACGGGGCCACCGTTCGATTTTTCCTTAATTCGGCAAATGTCGCGTCGATCGAGTTAATTAATAGTAATAATAATAATAGTAGTACTTGGCTATTATTCGGACAGAAACGTAAAGGAGCTAACGAGCGTTCAGAGAACGTGTAATCAATTTGAACGGGCGATTATCAGTCTCCATCGCGGAGTTAATGTGGCGTGAAACATCGACTCGTTTCGAAAACTCGGGGTTTCGTTAAACATCTCCTTTCCGCGAGGAAAACGCGAAACGACGGACTCGTGAAAGAGAAAACCATCTTTCGAAGACTCGAGGAATCGATGCACAAAGGGAAGCGTGAGAAACGACAGCGCAACGACCCTGGACGAAGTGAAAGTCTCTTTTCTCTCCTTCATCTTTCTTCGATCGCTTTTTTTTTCACTTCAAACAATGTGCAATTTCTGCGGAATATGGAAATTAGCGTCTTTACTGTGACCGAAAGCGTTAAGACTTTCGATAGAAATTATTAACTTTAAGCCAGAAAATGGATATTTAAATGTTCTATTATATCGTAGAGAAATACCGTAATTAGATCATAAAAGATCCATCGCATCTATTTGGTATAAATCAACCTGAATTTAACCATATCTATGTATACACATACAGTGGTAGTCAAATAATTGTTGTACAGGATGATCCACGCACTTTTGCACATAACAGTGACGTAACTTTTAAAAATAGAATTCTATATTATTTTAACGTAGACCATGCGGCCAGTTTGCCTGATCTACTACCAAGAATCTGTCGAAGAATACATTGAAGACAGTCATGGTTTCATGAACATAGTAATTCTTGAAAAAATAATTGCTTACAGTATAGTCTTAAAACGCATCCATTGTATGAGGGTCATCAGCGATCGATGAGGTGTAAATCGAGATTGCAAAATTCTATGTCGGTCACCGTTGTCATGGCGATGAGTATGTTAACAAAGAATACTCGATACATCGTATAACACTAAAAACAAAAAAACAATTTACTTTCAGAGTTTCCATCGTAGATAGAGAAGGGAACTCGAATGGTCAGCCACGAGAGTCGTAAAAGGTCGAGTTTCACGAGCAGTGCAGAAGGAAGAGGCATTTTCCGAGCCGGAGTAAGACGTAACTGGTTACGAGATTACACGTACAACAAGCGTGCATTGAACCTGTGGGATAGCCAGCGAAGGTCACGCCGAAGTGAGGATCATCGAACCCAGCGCGCACCACGTGAGCTGTTTTCAGCTGTTCGCTCGTCTAGACGAGTGAAGGAATTCGTCGAGCAGGACAGCTTTGGATTTTGATCGATCGTTGGTGTATCCATAGATATATCCAAAGTAGATCATCTCAAATATTTATCTCCGAATGGAGGAAGGAATTTAATCATGATAGACGTTGAAGTGTCGAAGCGAACAAGGCACTTCCGGGGTTGGTTTCTGATATGTCGTTTATCAAGAAGAACATGTTAATTACTTTCTTACTTCTCTTCTATTAACAAAAAGTGATTCCTACTAGCAGTCATCGATAACGGTTTAAAAAGGAACGACAGACATCAACACCAACTTCACGTTCAATGATGGGAGCTGAAAAATTTATTTTAATTAAATAACGAAAGTATCTCAACATAAATGAGCAGGAATTAAATTAGTTTAACAAGAAACAGGTACTTCTCTTTAGAAAATAAAATCAATGGAACGAATCTTTAAATAATCAATGCGTTCGCCTTCAATTTAT